GATTGCCTGAGCCCGCGGGTTCGAGACCCGCCTGGGCAACTTGGCCAGAGCTGGTCTCTACAATAAAAATCAAGAAATTAGTGGGGCGTGGTAGCGCGCGCCTGGGGTTCCGGCCACTTGGAAGGCTGAGGCGGAAGGATCGCCGGAGCCCAGCGGCCACTGCACTCCAGCCTGGGCGACAGCGTGAGCCTCCCACTCCAAAAAAGCGCGTGTCTCGAAGGGCGGGAAGTCCTTCGCCAGTGATGCACCCCATCCCCGGGCATTGGCACCACCGCCTCCGTCTCCCCCACAGCCCCTACTGGGCTCACTCACTCCGGGGAGCCAGGCCTCAGGGCTCTGTCCTTCCTGGGCGCCCCGAGCTACGTGTTTCAGTCCTGCCTCCCTTCAGAGAGCCAGGGGAGGGATGAAAGGGCCTTCGGGAAAAACGGAGAGCCGTTGGGTGCTGTGGCCTCTGAGACTGGGAGACCTGGTGACTGAAGACCCCCACGCTAGCCTTCTGGAGTGGGAAAGGCCGGTAGCGGAGCTGGGCCAGCCCCTGGCTAGTCCAGGAAGCCGGTGCCATGCACGGAGGAGGAGGAGGAGGGACAGAGGGCTGGGCCCAGGGAGTCTTTCCAGGTGCCGCTTCCGGCAGGAATCTGCCAGGTTCTGCTCAGCTCCCTCCCAGTACTGGAGAGATGTCAGCACTGATTCGCAGGCTCCTCTCTACTGTCACCCCTGCTTCACTCCGGCAACAGAGGAACACCCTCTGGCCACCCTTCCCAGGCTCCCAGAGTCTGCGAGTGTCCCTCCAGAATCCTAGGGCAGAGGGAGAGACTGTCCCTGCCCGGGTACCGGGGAACAGCTTCGTCACTGGGCTCTCCTTCCATGTCCAGCCCAGCTCCTTGCCCTCTCCTGGATCCCCCTTCACTCCCTCAGGACCATGGGCTCCCTCTTTCCCCCAAGAATCTTTCCCGCTTGTCCAGGTGGAGTGAGGCTGAGGCCAGTAGATGAACAGACAGAACCGGGAAGATCCCAAAAAGTGGGGGAGGAGACAGTTGGAGGTGGAAGTGGGGAGATGGGAGCAGCTGGTCCTGACGGTTGGTTTGGCCTCCGGTTTTCCCAGAACTGTCTGGCTCTTGTGGGAGCCCCATGGTGCCCCAAGAGGCTAGCAGGGCAGCGGGGGCAGTGGTCCGGGCCTACCCCCAGTTTGCAGCCTGCTATCTCCTGTGGCTGCTCTGTCTCCTTCTATGGCTGGGCAGCTACCAGCTACCGTGTGCCTCTGCCTCCCCGGGGTTCCCTCCGTTTCTGGCCTAACCTCTGGGAGAGATTCGAGAGGCCCGAGCCGTGGAGGATAAGGGGGGACAAGGAAAGGGGAGGAGAACAAAAACAAAGCAGAGCCCTGGACACAGCCAGGGTTTCGGGCTCCAGGCTCTTCCACCTGCAGACCGCCAGGCCTCGGGCAAGTCATTTCTGTTAGCCTTGGTTTCGTCTACTTTTTTTTAGTTGGGGTCTCACTCCTGTGGCCCAGGCTGGAGTGCAATGGCAGGGTCACAGCTCACTGCAGCTTCCACCTCCTGGGCTCAGGTGATCCTTTTGCCTCAGCCGCCTGAGTAGTTGGAACTACAGGTGTGCACCACCACGCTCAGCTAATTTTTTTGATTTGTTATGAAGACAAAGTCTCGGTATGTTCCCCAAGCTGGTCTTGAACTCCTGCGCAAGCAATCCTCCCGCCTCAGCCTTCCAAAGTGTTGGGATGACAGGCGTGAGCCACCACGCTCGACCTCTTCCTCTTTAAATTCATATTTTGTTCCACTTGAATTGCTAGTACATTCTCGTGGTTGGAAGTTCAAAAGGTGGAAAATAAACTAGGAGGAAAATAAGTCTCTGCATCCTCCATCTCCCAGCCAATGTTTCCCTTCTTGGGGGAAAGCAAGAGTATTTTGTTTTTACATTCCAGAGCATATTGGGGCAACATGGGCAGTCTTTCTCTTACACACATTTTGTGCACGCTATTCTACACTTTGCCTTTCTTCCCCTAATGACAGGTCACCATTTGAGATCACTGCCTACCTCAGTACATAAAGCATTTCCTGGTTTTTTTTTTTTTGTCCAGCTGTCTGGGTGGGACTGCACTTGTACAGATTAATTCTCTACAGTGCATTTATGGTTGTTGGGTTGTGTCCAGGTTTTTTGAGCTTCATGGATGGTTGTTAGGTTGTGTCCAGGGTTTTTGAGCTTTGGTTTGCTCATCTGTAAAATAGATAATAATCCTACTGTGTAGGACAGTCGTGTTGCATAGGCTGGTTTTGAACGCCTGAGCTCAAGCCTCTGCCTCCCAAAGCACTGAGATGACAAGTGTGAGCCACTGCGCCCGGCCTCAGCCTCCCAAAGCTCTGAGATGACAGGCGTGAGTCACCACACCTGGCCTCAGCCTCTCAAAGCTCTGAGATGACAGGCGTGAGCCACCGCACCCAGCCGTCTCTCAGGCTCCTCTTCAAGGCCCTCCCTGCCTGCTCCCTTTTCCCTCTGTAGCACTCAGCCCTCGCCTGCGTGACTCTGCCAGGCTGAAAGCTGCCTGGGGGCCAGGCGTGCGTCCTACCCATCCTTGTGCCTTCCAGAATGCGTGACCCCCAGAAGTCACTCGGGCGGGGGCGGGGACCTCCGGCCTGGAGCTGAGCAGGGCGTGTGCTTCTTTCCCTCCGCAGGATGAGCCAGAGGGTCTTGCAGAATTGGAGCACCAGGGGCTGGCTGCTGGCGCTGTGCCTCGCCTGGCTGTGGACCCGCCTGGCCTCGGCTACCCTGCTGCCTCCGACTGCCCCAGGTTTGAGGGCGGGTGGCGGGGCCTGGGGAGGGGGTTCCCCAGGACACCCGGAGAGCTGGACACCCCTTCACCTCCTTCCACAGCCAGCAGATTTCTGTAAAATCCAGAGATTCTAGGGTTCCTCTCCTCTGCCCTTTACCCAGGAAGCTCTGTCTCCCTCTGCTGTTCCGGCCCAGAGGAGGCCTGGGCAGACCCAGTGCTTACCTTCCCTTCCGGCTGGAAGGTGTCCTGCAGGGAGGGAGGCCCTCAGTGGGGGCTTAAGTGTAGCCTCCTGGCCTAATTCTGTGGTTTTCCTTCTGGGATGGCTAAAGCCTCTGTAAGCGGATAATCCTCCCCACGCTCTGTAAGCCCTGGGGCCCTCGCCCTCACCCTGAGGAAGCTGGTGCAGAACTCTATCTTTCTTTTTTTTTTTGAGTTGAAGTCTCACTCGGTCGCCCAGACTGGAGTGCAGTGGCTGCTCCCGGCCACCGCAGCCTCGCCTGCTGGGCTCCGGCGAGCCTTCCGCCCCAGCCTTCCGAGTAGCCGGAATTACAGGCGTGCGCTACCACGCCCGGCTGATTTTTGATTTATTGTAGAGATGAGGTCTCGCTGCCCAGGCGGGTCTCGAACCCACGGGCTCAGGCAGTCCGCTCGCCTCAGCCTCCCAAGGCGCGGGGATGACAGGCTGAGCCACCGAGCCCGGCTTGGATCCCATCTTTCTTTGGCTCAAGGGCCGGCTCGGCCCAAGGGTGATGAGTGTGGCCTCACTGGGGAGGAAGGGTGGACAAGAGCACTGTGAAGCAGGAGGGAGAGTTCATCCGCTTCCCCCTCCCCTGCCACTGGAATTCTCTCCCGTGGCCCTGCTCCCCACGCAGGGACGAGGGGCTGGAGGACCCCCGGGGGGGCGGGAGGCACACGGGGCTGGGAGCCCGGGCCAGGCGCCTGACCTGGTGCGGCTGGCCCCTCAGTGCTGGCGCGGCAGGGCACCTGCGAGGTGATCGCGGCCCACCGCTGCTGCAACCGGAACCGCATCGAGGAGCGCTCCCAGACCGTCAAGTGCTCCTGCTTTTCCGGCCAGGTGGCGGGCACCACGCGGGCCAAGCCCTCCTGCGTGGACGGTGAGTGAGGGGGCCCTGAGGACCGTCCGGGCCTCGCTGCCTGCTGGGGATGCAATTTCATGCCCGTCTCAGGGCTGGCATGACCAGAGTCTCAAGTGATGGGGTGCCCGCAGGGGGAGGAGGGCGGACGCAGCCATCCCTGTGCCCCAGGGGAGGATCGCCGTGTCAGGCTCGTGCCCCTACCCTCGCGTGCCCCGCCTGGCGGACGCACCCACGAGTGGCCTCCTCTGGCCTCACGCCCACTCCTCTAGACCCAGGCTTCCTCCCCACTGCTCCTTCTTCTCCCTGGCCCCTCCCATGTGTCCTCCTTCTCAGCCCCACCCTCACGGCCCGCTCCCGGGGACACCCTCACCCTCCACTTTCCCCCCTCCCCGTCCATACTCGGGCGTGTGCGGCGCCCCGTAAACACACGCCCCTCCAGTCAGCTCGCACACCGCACCCACACACCAAGCGAGCACGTGGATTTGCCTGAAGAGACCCCTTCTCTGGCCTTCACCCCTGGCTGTCTTTGGGGAGATGCAGGGGTCAGTGGGAGTCAAGTTGGTAGGGTTCTGGCCCCGGGCCTCGGCCTGAGTGCCGCCTCTCTGGGCAGCCCAGAGATGACAAGGGACACGCAGGGCTCGGAGCCAGGGGGGTGTGGAAGCAGGCGCCTCGTCCCCAGGGGCCCGCTGTGATGGCAGAGAGCTCAGGGCCGTGCTCCGGCTTCCTCCTCCCACAGCCTCCATTGTGCTGCAGAGATGGTGGTGTCAGATGGAGCCCTGCCTGCCGGGGGAGGAATGCAAGGTGCTCCCCGACCTCTCGGGATGGAGCTGCAGCAGGGGACACAGAGTCAAAACCACCAAGGTATCCTGGGTGGACGCGTCCTCCCACCTCCTCTTCTCCTTCCCCCTGGGGTAGAATGGGGTCCGGGGAGTCTAGGATGTCGGGGTCTCAAGATGCAATCGTGAACTCTGAGAATGCAACACAGACGGTCCTCTTGGGCATGTCCTGACTGGGACTGGAGTTTAGGGCTCTGGATTTTGAAATCCCGTGTGTTCTTCTAGCAGGTTCTTTTTTCTTTCTTTCTTTTTTTCTGTGTCAGGGTCTCACTCTATTGGCCAGGCTGGAGTCCAGTGGCACGATCATGACTCACAATGGGTCTCAGCCTCCTGGGTTCAGGCGATCCTTCTGCCTCAGTCTCCCCAGTAGCCGGGACCACAGGTGTGTGCCACCACACCCAACTAATTTTTTAATTTTTGTTTTTTTCGTAGAGATAAGGTCTAGCTCTGCTGCCCGGGCTGGTCTCAAACTCCTGGCCTCAAGTGATCCTCCTGCCTTGGCCTCCCAAAGTGCTGAGATTACAGGTGTGAGCCACCATGCCTGACCCTTCTGGGCAAATTCTTGATGTTCTGTATACCTTGGTTTCTTCCTCTTTCCCTGGAGTGAATTGGCCTCCAGAAACTGTCAGGTCTATAAAAATAAAGTGGAGAGTTGAGGAAATTAATCTCGACTGAGGGAGAAATCTCTACTTGTATCTGAATTCTAGGCACCTCTGCCATGAACCATCCCCACATGCCCACCCCACTCCCTCTGTTACCAGCTTCCTAGAGTTCATACCTACCTGTCTCTAGTCAAACCACTGTCTGCTGTGACAGCGCCCAAGAGGATTCGTATTTTCATGGTTTGCTACCTGCTCCACAGAATGAGGGGTCATGAAAATTTTTCCAACTCATTAGCAATTCCATGTGTGTCAATGTTCATCAGTTGCATCACTCTGTCATCACCATTTGTGCAGAGAGTGACACTGCAGGGCCAGTCAGAGCTCTCCCTTCCTTCTTTCCCTGCCACCACCCACAGCAAACAAACAAACACATAAAAAAAAAATAGAGGAGGAAGGCAGCCTTCAGGATTTCATTTTCACAGAGCACAGGGCAAAAGGATCCTGAGCAAGGAAAAGGTTTGGCTGGATGTAAGGTAGTGTGTTCTATCTGTAGACAGGGGAAGGAGACAGCCACTCCGAATGCATTTAAGACCAAAAGAGAGTAACGCCCAACACGACGCTTGCGACGTTTGTCACCATGTGATAGGTTTGGGTTTGTAGCCTGTAAGGCAATAATCTCTGCTTGCAATTTGGGTAGCTACTCTGTTGTCTGAGTTATGTTTGCATGGGCCACCAGGCCACGCTGTCCCAGCCTGGACGCTTTAGGGCTTGGGAACCGGCAGCAGTGACCCCTGAGTGACCTGTGTGTCCTGGGCAGCTCTGGCATGCTGGAATGCGATAGGCATCCCCTTCTCTGACCTTCCCCTGTCGCTTATTCTCCAGGTCACACGATAGCCTTTGGGGTCACGATCTGGATAGGACAGGCTTGACTGAGTCACAGACTGAAGAATGGTATCCGGTCATCGGCCAGAGAAATACGGGGATTCACTTACCTGGACACATGCCCCGTGCCAAGTGCAGCATCGGTTTCTCCAAGGGCATTTCAATTAAGCTGCTCAGCAGATAGGATGGATTCAGCCACATGTCAAGGGCCTCTTCTGGGGACACCGAAGGTCAAGACGCAATTCCTGCCCTCGAGGAATGCCCAGTCGAGTTGGGGAGTTGGTGACAGACAATTTGGATAATTTAGATGAAAGTGTGTGGGGCCAGACTGTGGCTTTTGGGCCATGTGCTGTGGGCGCGGCAGGGGTTTGGGGAAGACGCTTCCCATAGCTCTACATCCACCCACAGCCACAGGGCACACAGGCAAGAGGTCACATTCCCCAGGCACCACCCGCCTCTTCCAATCCCCAGCAAGCTGCTAACATGTTGAAGAACACTCTTGGCTGGGCTCGGTGGCTCAGCCTGCAATCTCAGCACTTTGGGAAACCGAGGCGAGTGGACTGCCTGAGCCCGCGGGTTCGAGACCCACCCGGGCAACTTGGCAAGACTTCATCTCTGCAATAAATCAAAAACTAGCCAGGCGTAGTAGCATGCGCCTGTAGTTCCGGCTACTTGGAAGGCTGAGACGGAAGGATCGCCGGAGCCTGGTAGGTCGAGGCTGCGGTGGCCTGGAGCGTGCCACTGCACTCCAGTCTGGGTGACAGAGTGAGTCTCCAACTCAAAAAAAATAAAGAAGAACACTCTCCCCTTCCACCAGACCAGTGACGTCTCATTGGATGGGATTGGATTGACTTGGGAACAGAAAGCAAAAATAAAGCCAATTTCCCAGCAAAGCCTCTGCCCTGGCATGGCCTGGGTTGGGCTGTCATTGGGTAGACAATGGACAGGCCCTTAAAATCACCCCCATCCAAGCACCTCAGGGTTTTGTTTGTTTGCTTATTTTAACAGAGGAGGCAACTGAGTCCCAAAGAGGTGAGGTGACTTGCCCAAGGAATCTAACAGCCCGGGCTCCCAAACCTCTAAGACTGCTGGCCCTCGCTAGCCTGATTGTTGGGTTCCAACCTAGGTCTTCCATGTTAACTTTATGTGAAGTTACTGGAGCCAGCAAAGTACTGGCTGGACAGCAATAACATTTTTCTTGGGAGATTCTATAGCAGGGAATTTTACCCAGGTCTCTATTCTCCTCTCTGAAATAATCAGGAAGATCCACACACCAGGATGTGGGGCCGTTTGGTCTCCACTCTGCCCTGTTCCCAACATTTCAAACAGGCCCTGTGATAGCCCAGCTACAGCCCAGCTACAGCTGGGGAATTCTGAGCTGGCATCAACACTGCCACTGTGACCCATCTCTTCTGGGGTCCTTAGGCTGTAACTCTCAGAGGCCCTGACTCCAGCAGAGACATTGGGTAGGATGTAGGGCTGGTGAGAGTCCTCTCCCTTTAAAGACACCTGCTGGACAGAAGGGGTGGCAGGTTTGAGCCACAGTCAGGCTGGCACTCTAGATGGCTTGGAGTGGCACACAGGTTTCAGGGACTCAGAAGCAGGGGCTACTTAGATATCTCATGAGTTAGAGAATTGCAGCATGTGTGATGGCTGGGATCGGGGTCTCCAGGACCTTAGGGAAAAGGGTGTCGGTAAGGTCCATCCAGGACGATGCTGGACTTTGATCCTCCGGGAGACGCATCACATGCCGGTTGGGGCTGAGTCTGTTCCTCTCTCCCTCCCCGTGCAGTGGAACCAAGACTGTTGGCTAGCTCCTCTTTCTTACCCGACTCTGGTTTCTTTTCTTGGTTTTGTTTTGTTTTGTTTTTGATCATGGAGTGAACAATGATGCCGGCTTCTCACTAGCCTGTAAATATCAGAACCCTAACAACTCGGAATCTCTGCAGATAGTGGGCTCCTGGGGTAGGGTGGCCAAGGAGTTGGTCAAAGGTTATCACTGCCTCCTTCAAGGCTGGGGGATGGCAAACTTTAAGGGATTGGCAAACTTTTTCTGGATATGGCCAGATACTGAATATTTCAGGCTTTGCAGACTGCATACAATCTCTGTTGCATCGTCTCCATTTTTGTTGATGTTCGTTTTGTTTTAAAAACCTTTAAAAAATGTAAAAACCATTCTTAGCTCAAGGGCTGTAAAAAAGAACAGACCCTCGGTTTTTTGTGTTGTTTTGTTTTTTGTTTTTCACAAGCTTGCCAGCCCCAGGGAACCGTGGAAGGCAGGCCACATCTCCGCAGCACGGGACTGACTCCAGGCTCCCACCCTCCTTCCATGCAGTAGGAACCCGAGCGTGAGGGCTGGGTCAGGTTTTGTTCGTCTCCTAATACTCCTTGAGAGATTGGTGAGTGAATTATTTAGGCTACAAACGAGACAGCTTTAGAAGAGTCAGACAGTAAGAGCCTGTTCTCTTGGAGGCCAGGACAGGAGCTTTCTTCTCTCTGCTCCCTCCCTGCCCCCAGACTGTGTGTCCAGGATGGAGGGACAGGGCTCCAGCCCCCTGCTTGGCTGCCCCCTCAACAAGCCCCTCGGCTATGGCTGGGGAATGAGCTTGGGTGTAGGGCTGATAAGCAAACTCCCCCCCCTGCTGCCAGCCACACCAGCTCCTGACCTAGCCAACGTCCAGGTTCTCTGACCTTCCCTCTCCCTGCCTATAGAGAAGTCCTCTTTCCTTTGACCCATGCTGGAATTTGCTAATTCATTTCATAAACTCTCAAAGCCTCCATTTCCTCCTGACCTATCCATGTATTTATTTGGTGGACTTTTAAAAATCTTTCTTTTCTTTTTTGAGTCAGAGTCTCAGTCTGTCAATCAGACTGGAGTGCAGCAGCACGCTCATGGTTGTCGCAGCCTCGGCCTGCTGGTCTCAAGTGATCCTTCCACCTCAGCCTTCCAAGCAGCTGGAACCACAGACGCGTGCCACCACGCCTGGCTATTTTGTTTTTGTTCTTATTCTATTTTTATTGATTTATTTTTTAAAAAATAAAGACAAAGTCTTGGCCGGGGGAGTGGCTCATGTCTGTAATCCCAGCACTTTGGGAGGCCGAGGTGAGAAGATTGCCTGAGCTCACGAGTTGGAGACCAGCCTGGGCAACTTGGTGAGATCTCATCTCTACAATAAATCAAAAAATTAGCCGGGCGTGGTGATGCATGCCTGTAGTTCCAACTTCTTGGAAGGCCGGGGCAGAAGGATCACCTGAGCCCAGCAGGTCAAGGTTGCAGTGGCCATGGGCGTGCCATTGCACTCCAGCCTGGGAGACAGAGTGAGATTCCAACTCAAAAAATAAAAATAAAAATAAAAAGACAGTCTTGCTATGTTGCCCAGGCTGGTCTTGAACTGCTGATCTCAAGCAATCTTTTTGTCTTGGTCTCCCAAAGTGCTGAGATTACAGGTGTGAACCACCACACCCGGCCTAATTGGTGGACTTTAAAGGGTATCTTATCTATGGCTGGAAGAACTCTACCTAGGAAGGTGAGATAGAGAAG